CTTCGTCGTCGGTCGTCTCTCTCTCTCTCTCTCTCTCTCTCTCTCTCTCTCTCTCCATATCACAGCCTACATGGGATAGTGATGATCCCAACAGACTAAGGGTTTATAGTCTGTTGGATTAGAAAATAATTTCCTAGAGTAAGGTATATCTATATCGTGGTTTGAACTTCTCAGAAACGAATATATCATGGAATCAAATTTTGGAGAGGCTTTCATCCACAAAAAGGTAGCCTCTCCTGATATCATCTTTTGTCCATCAAAGGCTAAATTTTATTAAAGACCAACCAAGAACCCTTTTTCATGTTTTGAATATGATATTCGGAAAAATCAAAATGTCCCTTTTTCCTTTTTGGTAAAATAAAGGAAAAAGTGTAAAAACTAATATTGGCATTTACTTGAGAGAAAGACGAGGGATCATCAGCATTTTGGCATTTGCTAGTTTTAGGTGTAAAGTCACACAAACCACGATCTATGAATAGATGATTGCAGTTTTGGCAACTGAATTGCCACAACAAGAAAGTACCATGAGTTGACACTATGTTACAATTCAATCATTTATGAATTTTTCAATCTTCAAAAATATCCCTAAAGATTTTGTCACACGTTTTTTTTTTTTTAGTAAGATTTTATCTTATGTTTTCTTAAAGGAAAAAGAATTATTTAGTCCATTCTTCTTGAAAACCCTCACAACCAAAACCATGGTATAGTCAACTACAACCGTTCTAACACGCAGATTATTATAAGTAAAGCTATTCACTTCTATCTTCCATTACTCATTGACTATTTTAATGAAGAGAATAGAACTGATATACGAAAATATAATCTTTAATGAAGATAAATGTTTTAGTTTTTCAGAGACATTCTCATAAAACAACTAGCATTTCATCTGATAGTTATCATGTACCCTAAATGTCAATTAATTTCCTTCAAGAAACAAACTCTTGCCATGGTTACTTCATGGATCAGAATCCCACAAGAACTCAAATTGAATATCTTTTCCAATCAAACACAACAGCATAAAGATTTCAGACTGTTGGCCAACTTCAACCAAAAATCTTCAACACTAACAATGAAACTCAATTTTATTTATTTTTAAAGTAAAAAAGAAAGTGGAAGGCTTTCTCACTGATACAATGACAATTCATATGCAAAAAGAAATAACCACGAATAATAAGTCCCTAACCCACAATCAATGACCTGGAACAACAGATCCATCAAAATTTAGATGCAAAAGAGCTCACCAAAATTAATATTACATAAAATAATTCATACTAAACTACGAGAATAAACAAACTAGCTCTTCATTATCCATGAAATAAATAAATTAGAAAGTTCACACAATACAGAAACCAGAAACTCAAAGATCAAAGCAACTTAACATTTTTGTAAATTTTAAAAATAATTTAATCAACAACCAACCCTAAATTCCAAGTCCCAATTGCCACCCCTTAAATAGCAGATCCACTAAAAGGTGACATCACAAGACACAAAATCTGTAGTTATATAAGCACTACCGAAAAACTAGTATAATCAAATAAATGCGCTCAAATAACAAGCCCACAATCTGAGTTGTAGCAACTAATGTAGAAAAGCCAAATTTCCAAAACACAGATCCATTGCAAATCCAAAGGACCCAATGGTTACACCTCTGTGAACAAAATGTACAAACAGAAACCAAAAAAACCACAATATAAAAAGATTCTGACTTCAAATAAATGAATAAAAAAAATCCAACAAAAACTAAAAAAAATGCTGAAAATCTCTAAAAAAGCCAAAAATCAAATAAAAACAAAATTAAACAAAAATTTCAGACCCAACAAAATTACTGAACAGAGACTCACATTCGTCGAAGCGATCCTGAGAAGTGCGCGCCTAACCAGACCATCAGTTTGCTCTGAGACGTCCATCTGAACCCTCATCAATTCCCCAACAGTCGCAGGCTTTCTAGCCTTCGAAGGACTACTATCTTTCAAAGGACTGTGTTTCTTTGTAGATTTCAAACCTAAGGCCTTCTTCATCTTACTAGCTGCACTCGAAGTAATAGACCTCTGAAGAGATGGCGATGAAGAGAGAGAAGGAGAAGAAGAAAGAGAATTCTTCTCTGGCTTATCCGCAAACCTCTCAGACTGAGGAACATAGGTTAATGGCTTCCCCCCACTTGGCCTACAAGCTGCTACGAAGATCTCATATGCTGTTTCTCTCAGTTCAGAGTCTGAGATTCCACAACCCAATTCACCAAATGGGGTTGGGAGATCAAGACACATCGTCTCCTTCTTGGGTTCAGCCATGGCCCTGACTTTGGACGAAGGAGCCATGGTGGGTCGTTTCAATCAGGGAAAAAAAAGGAAAAAAACTAATCTTTCTTCTTCTCTATCTAAGAAATCGTCTTCATACCCATTGCTCTCTCAATGGCAGGTATTCTCTCTATAAAAGAATTCATCTTTATCTTTTTCTCTCTCTGGGGAGAAATAAGCTTACCTCTCTCTAGAAAAAGAAATAGATGAATTAATCTCTCATTCTCTCTCTTCTTTTCTTTCTTTGATATTCGGTGGGTGTTGCAGAGGTGTGAAGGGGAAGAAAAAATTGGGAAAGGAAGACTGTGGAGGAGGGATGGTTAAAATAATGGTGAATGCGTAAGCACGGTGCAAGAGAGAGAAAGTGGGAAAAGTAGAGAGAGAAAGTGAGAAGGAAGAAGCACGGCGGTGGAGTGATGGTGCCAAGCGCGAATGACAGTGAACATAGGATTTCTCTCTAGGGCTTACAGTTTTACCAGAGCAGACTAGAGAGTCATTCTTTAGAGAGATGAAAATATTTTAGGGTTTTGAACGCGGAAGTCGGTGTACCTCGCATGAAAGAACCTTATCATCTTTTGTGAATATTTTCACCAAGTTTTGGTAACGCTTTTTTAGAGAGGGGGGGATTTCTCTATATTGTTTGAGAGAGACTAAAGCTAACCTTAAAGTGATCAATACTTTTTTATATTAAAATATTTTTTAATCGTAATACAAATTTTTTTAAACATAGATATTTTTGGTCATTTAGGAAACCTAGAATGAATATTTTTATAAAAAAACAATGACATTTTATTAGTAGTTAAAAACAATTAATGTATTTTGTGGGTGATGTCACATGTTATATATGAGATATCATTGTCTATTATGGTTAATAAATGTTTTTATTTTTATTAGAAATTACTAGTTTACTCTTATTTTTATTAGAAATTACTAGTTTACTCTTGATTGGTTATTTAAAATACCTTTAAACAAAAAGTTATTGTACGATAGGATAAAAGTATATAAATATCTAAAAATATTGAACATTTTAAGGGTCTAAACCTACACAACAAGTGGTATAGCCTGACAAAACCTTGAATAAACTGTAAAAACACCTCATTATCTTTATAAATTCTTTACAAAAGGTAAATCACTTGGTTTTATTTTCTATAATAGATTTGAAGATGAAAATTTTTTACAGATTTGTGAACACTTATTTTTTGGATAAAGTAGACAGTCTAGATAATATGTCATAATATATGTTATTTTTAAGGTTTAAATTTCTTTTCTTTTTTTACAACCATAGTGCTCAAAGTAGAGAATATTGATTTGAAGGTTTTCTAACATCAAAAGTACAATTTTTGTGAATTTGGAAGTGAAGCTTTACCAATTTCAACCAAACTGCAACCCAATCAAAATATTTTCTTTTTCAAAATCTATGCTACAAAAATACAAAGTCCAATGTGGACTATATCTTGAATTGGGCTTTCTAATTCTTCACCACTTGGTCATTGATGTGTTTATTATGGACATCTAGGGTTTTGAACCCAGCTGAAGGATCTACTTGACAAAATAAAATCCAATCTTCTGAAGATAATTGTTTGCAACTTTATGGTTGCTCCCTTCATCCAAAAACATATATCTCTCCCTGTGTGAAAGTTAAGAAATAGTTCTCTTAAAAATCAAAATATCCCTCTCTCCCTGAAAGTTAAGAGATCTCTCTCTCTCTCTCTTGTAATTTAAAATCTTTCTCCTTGTAAGTTAAACTATAGCTCTCTGTCTCTCTCTCTCTGACCCATGATAGTCAAATATAACTCTCTCTCTCTCCCCTTGAAAATAACTTGAAAGTTTGAAAATATAACTTTCTCCCTAAGTTAAAATTGAACTCTCTATCTTTACTTGATAATTAAATATTTGAAAGCTACAATACAACTCTCTCTCTCTCTCTCACAGTTAAAATATCTCTTCTTGAAAGTTACAATATAACTCTCTCTCTCTCTCTAAAATTGTTTGTTTCCCAGAGTTCAAATTTCATATGTTTCTACCTCTTTGAAAGTTAATGTGCAGTTGTTGTCAAGTTTCAATTCCAAGTGCTTATCTCTCATACGCATTTAACTTGTTGTTGACTTCTTCTTGGATTTTCTCTCACATCTTTTTGTAGCCTTGGAAAAAACCAAAATTCTACATTTTATTCAATTTGAATTATGATTTGGATTGTGGACATATTCAAATCAATAACATGTGCCAAACAAAAGATAACCAAAGTCTAGCCAGCAATTTTTTATTGGCAATTATTTATCTCATTCAATCAAATGGAGCTCAAAAATCAAATATTTTGGCCTCCTCATTATATATTAATGTGGTGGGGGAATCTCATAAGTATTTTTTTAAGTATGAAGTTTCTATAAGTCCTAAGCTTTATGGAAACAAAATAAAGCTTCATCTCAAATTTTCATTTGGAAAGCATGTTAGGCATAAATTTTTTTTATGATGGCTTTAAAATCAATTTTCAATGCAGACAATAAAATTTGAAACTCAAAAAATGATATAGATCTTGCGGATCTACCAAACATTTATTTTTAAGGCGAAATGGATGGTCTAGATAGTTCTTGCAATATGCACTATTTTTACAGCTTGGAATCTTAATTATTTTTTTTTCGCAAACCTATGTTAAAGATGAGATGATCGATTTAAAGGTTTTTTTACACTTGAATTGCAATTTACAATGAATTGAGAGACAATGCTTTACTTATTTTAATAGGATTGAAGCCCTATCGAACCATTTTTTTTTTTTAATTAAAATGATTGATGATTTGAAGCATAGAGACAAGGAAAATGCCCTTGAACAACCAATGCTCACTAGGATGTGCCCTCCCCATGAAGCCTTCACCTAACGAAATTAAGAGAGAAGAGAGAGAGAGAGAGGGGGTAATGTGTTACAGAGAAAAAGAGTGGGCCATGCACCATAAAACTAAGAGAGAGAGAGAGAGACGACGTGAGAGAGAATACTGTGCTCAAGAGATACTATTGAGCTAGAGAGAGGTATTGTGTTAGGGGAGAGAGACCAAATGAGAGAGAGTACTGTGTTCAAGAGATAATATTGAGCTAGAGAGAGAGAGGTATTGTGTTAGGGGAGTATTGTGCTAGAGAGAGAGAGAGATTGACTAGGGCTGAGGAGGCGGGCTAGCTTGCTTGCTGAAGGCGCCACTGGTGCCTAAGTCGTCTCCTTAACTTGCTTCAATCACCCCATGGGGATGGTAGCCATGTTTTCTAGTGGTTTTCGACAACTGGGTGGGGTTGAACTGGAATTGGCCGGGTTACTCGGAACCAAGGACTGGCCGGTTTAACAATCTTATTTTTTAAAAAAATTTGGTAAAACCAACACCAATTTAAACATTCGATTAATAACAATAATAATAACAATAACAAAAATAACGAGGAGAGCCCGCAGTTATTGCAGGTTGATAAGACTATGGATTTTGGTAGTGGGGCTGTCAGCGTGTTTCAGGGATACGAGGAAGATGATTTGTGGACGTCTCGTAGTTAGACTGGCATGCTTGCATCGGCAAAATCTGGGCCATTCATTTCAATTTGGATCCTGACGGTGTTGGGGAATATTCTTTATGTTTTTCTTTTTTACCCAACTGTTGAAGTTGAGGGATTTTTGTGAACGAATGTCAATGAGCTTGTTTGGATTTATGGCTCGTGATTCAAGCGATCGGAGCCATCCATTTGAAACTTAGAATGCCCCAAATTAAAAAAAAGACAAGAGATAGTAGTGATGTTAGCCGACCCCAAATAGTTAGGATAAGACTTAGATGATGATGAAAAATAATAATTTTATGATCAATGAAATACAAATATGGTCCACATGACCACCGTAAGAGCACCGATATTGTCAAAAAGAAGAGCACCGATATTGTCAGAAAGATTAGAAGTAAAATTAGTGAGGACCATATTTGGTAGGACCCCACTTCCTCTGTTAGCATCAAGCTTATTAATTTGACGGTGATGCATGAACAAAGAATTGTGCTTATGGAAAATGAAGAAATCATCATCATTAAAGTCTTTTTACAATTATTTAGAGTCAATTGGAACATGCCAGAAATACGAATGAATAATAAGTACAATCTATGTAGGGCAAGCTTTTTATGTTTATCCTACATCATAGAAGTTCTATCTTCTCCCTTAACCAACCGTCCATTCTGAATGGAGGGTTAAGATTGCCCCAATCGCAATGTCACATCTCTATACTATTTTATTTTTAATATTTTTCTATAAACTATTTTAACATTAAATTTTGGATGTCCATTCCTCTATTAAACTCGCACTAGCGAAAAATATATAAAAAATATTTTCAATAAAATAAAATAATCAAAATACCCGCGAAAGATTCAAAAGGTATTTTGATCATTATGTTTTATCGAAAACTTATTTTTAATATTTTTATAGGTGCGCCCCAATGAGAAGATGACGTGCACCAAATTTCATATTCATACAATTTGTATAAAAAAAACTAAAAATAAAATACTTTGAAATGTCGGATCTATGATCAAACGGTAAGTGGCTCTCTTGATCAAAATTGGACAGCTGGATGGTAGGGGGAGGATATAACTTCTATGCTGTTGGGAAAGCATAGAAACATTTCCCATCTATATAAGGCATCCGCCTAAACAATAACAAATTGTATTTCCAAAAGCCGCTAGATGATATGGTTATGGTATTGAAAACTCTTTATGACAGCTTGAAAATTTGTTTTCACCCTAAACTCAAAGGTCAAAAAATTGTTGGGATTGAACACATATGTAAATACTTGAAAATATTAAAAATAGATGGTCCACATAATGTGTTACAAGTATTTTTTTAAAACTTTTCTTTTTCACAACCAGTCTAAAGGTCGAAACAATCAGTTTGAAGGTACTTTTATGGTGTGCTTCATTATGTGATTTCATAAAAGTTGATACCCTATATATATTTTCTTTATAACTAATATTGCAATATTTTTAGCACGATTTCATTTGGTCTTTTTGGTTGTTGGATATGCTTGTCAATTGAAGCTTTACAATGAAGGTCATTTAAGGTCCTTGAAGTCATTAAAGAAGAGGGGAATGGTACATGTTTGGTGTATCGAATCTTATTGTAGTGCACCTCGAGCTCATATACATAGAGAGAACCTCGTGCTCATATACATAGAGATAACGAGAGAGAGAGAGGGAGAGCCATGCAAGTGGAAGAGAGAGAGAGAGCTAGCAAAATGGAAGAGAGAGAATATGATGGAAGTGAGAGAGAGAGAGCTCGCAAGATGGAAATGAGAGAGACATAGTAAGAAGACGAGGAATTGGGTTTAAGCTCGAGCAATTAGCGGTTAACACTTAGTATAACTACATCTCAAATTTGATTCCTACCACTGAATTGCTCAAAAAAAAAGAGCTCACAATAAAAAAAATTGAAGGGGGAGAAATAGAGAGCAAGAAGATTTAAATGGAAGAGAGAAAATGGGCAAGGTGAGAGAGAAAGAGAGAGGTTACAAGATGGAAGTGGAAGAAAAAGACCTCTAAAG